GTCATCCCCTGAGGGTTCCCAGACTGCAAGAGGGCACAGGCTGGGCTCAGGGACCCCCCCAAGTGCACAAATTTTTGTGCACCGGGCCTCTAGTTTAAAAATAAACGGCACCACTGACCTGGTGCCGAGAAACTAACACTCAGCTTCCCCCAAGTGGAACACAGGTCCCGCGACACCCCACCAAATTGCAGCCAACGCTGCCAAGACCTCATGGTGCAAAATGCAGCCCCCAGCCCAGCCCAGAAACGGTTGCTGTGGGCGCCGGGTAATGATGCCACATAGCAACGCCCAGCTTCCTTTCCCTAGCGACTAGCACCCTTTGAGTTTCTTCAGTCCAGGAACCCAACTTGCTTTATAGCCAGGTGCAAACATTTCACAGTTTAACCAAATGTTTGTGAAGCCTTTTTCCCATGCCTCATCTCATTTGATCCTCACAGAAGTCCTAGAGTAGATAAGAGATTTGATAGAATCCTATTTTCTTTTCATTAGCAAGATGCGAATAGTGATATTAAAATATTTCTTCTAATTACTTTCCTTTCAATGTGCGTGAATCTATGCATCAGGACACTAGTAGAGAATAAAAAGTCTACTCCAAGGTCACTTAGAAAATAGTGACAGAACTGAATTGAACACTAATTGTGTGGTAGGTACTGTTCTAAGGCCTTAAAACATTAATTCATCTAAGCTTTACAACACCCCCATGGGGTAGGTACTATTATCATTCTCATTACAGATAAGGAAACACTGTCCCAGCAAGGAATGTTATCTCAACAGATAGGGTGATTTTATTTAAGTCATCTCTTACGCTAATGATTGTCAAGCCCTGATAGGCTATTCTTTTGTGGTCTGAGTCTTAACAAGTTTCCCTCTCCTGTTAACCCATCTGGAATGACCCATCTGAGCTTAGCTCATATTTTTTATCCCCTCCCTACACTTAATGATTAAAGTCCTATATTCTTTCTAATTGTTCACATCAGCCTTTGTTGCTCTTGGAATCTTTAGATTTCTGTATGCTTTTGGAACTTCTGTCGGTTATTCCTCTTAAAATTTCTTTTGTTGCTACATAATTTTATATTTGTATTGATTTCAAAGACGAAGGGAGAGGGAGAGAGAGATAGAAACGTCAATGATGAGAGAGAATCATTGATCGGCTGCCTACTGCCCACCCCTTACTGGGGATGGAGCCCGCAACCCAGGCATGTGCACTGACCAGGAATCGAACCATGACCTTCTGGTTCATACCACTGAGCCATTCCGGCCGGGCACTACATAATCTTATTTACTTATACATTGCTTATTTATAAATTGTACTTATGTGTAAGTACAATTATTAATTATTAAAATAACTTAGAGACAAAATAGATTTAGCAGGAATCATGACCATTATGAATCTACTAGTGTTCAGAGCACAGATTCATGCACATTGAAAGTAAATTAATTAGAAGAAATATTTTAATATTGCTATTTGCCCTTTCTCTATAATAGAAGTGTCAACCAAATTCATGATCGACAATGACAGATGGAAACACACATGTGTGATTGGTGCCAGTGAGAGCTTTATAAGTATTGTACGTGCACGAGTCAACTTAGCCTTTTATAGATATAGAATCAACTTGCTTAATTAGACCTGCTTTCTGATGTAGCTAAACTTTTTCCAGCCCAGTGAAGGACCCCAACTTCTCTTTCAGGTAATTGTTAGCAACACAGCAGTAAATATCAACATGAAGCAGATTATTATTGTAGATCACACAGGGAGAACAAAGGGTAAAATATTGAACTGCAGCAGTGTTTAACTATATTCTGTGCAGTGAGAAAACCTGAAGTCATTTTCAAGGTCCACCATTTCTTTCTTATTTTCAGTAGGGTCAAGTTTCTAAACTTCCTAAATCTCCATTTTCTGGCTAATTAAAAGAAAATAGGATTCTGCCAACTCTCCTATCTACCTGCTCCAGGACTTCTGTGAGGATCAAATGAGATGAGGCCTGGGAAAACGCTTCACAGACATTTAGTTGAAGTGTAAAATCTTTGCACCTGGCTATAAAGCAATTCAAGTTCCTGGGCTGGAGAAACTCCAAAGAAGTTCTGATAAAACGCTAGGGAGAGGAAGTCGAGTGTTGCTACGTGACATCATTACCCGGCGCCCACAGCGACTGTTTCCAGGCTGGGCTGGGCTATGGGCCACATTTTGTGCCATGGAGTCTTGGCAGTGTTGGCTACGATTTGGTGGGGTGTCGCTCAGGGTGGTGGCAGGGCCTATGACCCACCCTGGGGGAAGCCAAGTGTTGGTTTGTCGGCGCCAGGTCTGCAGTGCTGTTTCTTTTTAAATGGCCAGTGAGCATCATGGCAGCTCCCGTGTTGAGCATCTGCCCCCTGGTGGTCAGTGTGCATCATAGCTACCAGTCGGACAGTCAGGTGGACACTTAGGCTCTTATATATATAGATACTGTCTAAATAACTGCGATAATCCATCTCCATTATTCAGAACCCCCTTTTTTTTACCTCCTTGAGATAAGGTACTCATAAATTCTGTTCCTTTTTTTAAAACTTGGAAAATTCCGTCTTTAACTCCATTTTACTGAATATGAGTATTATAAAATTTCAACATTTTTTTAAAGAAGAAACATGAAGTAGCATTTGATAACTATGGGAAGAACTAAATCAAGAGAAGTGTAGAATATGGCAGGCTAACCTTATTTCAGTCTCTATGAGATTAAATATTTTAGACAAAGTTGTATAGCAAAGGAAGAGGGAAATAAAACAGTACTTCTCTTAATATCTTTGTAGTTTCTGTGGAAAGCTAGTAACAACCATGTGGTTTAAAAATTAGCACGCAGACAAATCACTCATGTTCTCAGGAAAACTATCCCTGCAGAATGGCAGGCCATCACTGCACCTGTACTTCCAGAAGCCAAGTGACAGAAACTTTATAAAAGAGAAGGTACAACAATATAAGAAATCACTACGGATAATTTTGTTTTTTCAAAAGCACATCACTGGAATTTTAGTGCTGATCCGCTGCTGGATACAAGGGGCATAATGTGGTACATAAACTAATCCTGTGCTGCAGGAGTTGTGACCCAATAAAGATGAGGCCGTACACCAGTTACTATAATGCAGCCGAATAGAGGACTCAGAAGAAAATACGTTTAGTTCAGGCTCCTGCTATAGGGCAATACATCGATTTTGTTAGGGGAGAACATAAGTGGGCATGGATGAGAGGAAAATGTTCCAACTGTTGGCATCTCTAAGTGCTCTAAGTGCCCTATTAGGGAGATGAAGAATTGATCGGTCTGGTCAGACAGTGGGTTTATTTAGAAGGCAGTAGAAATCCTAGCCGATTTGGCTCAGGAGATAGAGCGTCAACCTGTGGACTGAAGGGTCCCAGATTCGATTCTGGTCAAGGACACCGACCTTGGTTGCAGGCTGGATCCCTGGCCCTGATCGGGCACATAAGGGAGGCAACCGACCGATAGGACTCTCATATCCATGTTTCTCTCTCTGTGTCTCTCCCTCTCACTTCCTCTCTCTCAGAAAATCAGTGGGAAAATATCCTCCGGTGAAGATTAACAACAACAACATAAAAAATAGAAGGCAGTAGAAGACAGGCTTCTGGACACCATCTAGAGGGCTGGGGATTGCACCCTCAGTCGTGGTGAACACACTAAACTGCTGGGAAAGATCCTGTATGAGGCAGACCAGCTGACGGTCTGGACAGTCAGATAGTCTATCAATTTGAATATGAAAATTGGAACTGATACTGAGAATTTAGTAAAGGTTGACATTATAATGTATAATTATTAAATTTTTAAAATTTTGTGCATCATTTCAGGAGCTGTGGGCCAAGCATTTAATTTATTGGTGACTTTTTTATTTTTAGAAGTTTGTATTACTTAACATTTTTTACTAGGAAAAATGTTTCTGTGGCCATTAGCTCTGGCATCTGAATTGGTACTGCTCTTCTGGGATCCAGAGTAGTTCCAAAGTTATCAGGCCAGAGTTTGAGGAGGAAAGCTTAACCCTTTAGCCAGCAATTTCACATGATAAACACATTTATCTTCCGTTCAGTTCTGTTTTATTTTGGGCAAGCGAGGACTTCAAATTACATACAGTTATTCCATTCTTTTCTTTGGGAGAATCAAGTTTTCGGTCAGGTTTCAACCTGCATAAACCTTCACAATTCTATTTAGATCTATTTTTATTAATACTTTTAGTTATAATTCTGCAAAAATGGTTTATGTGTGTGCTAATAGAAGCAGTCAAATGTCGGCACAATCTTAATCAGGCCAGTAACTGTGTTTTCTGGGGGTTTTCACGTCTTCAGTTTTATTTGAAAATTGTACCATGAGCAGGCATCATTGTTTCAGGGTGCCCCACCATGGTGGGAACTTATCCTAACATAGGACTTTGTTTACTTCTTCTAGGACTTTCCTCGGGGGATTCCACACCTTTAATGCAAGAAGACGTGCTGAGTGCAGACGCACGTGCTGTTGGTGAGGAAGAGTCAGCCGAAGGCAATGCTAACGACCAACCAGAAGCCCCGACACTGGCTTTGCAGTCTCTGTTCTCACTGATCCGCGGTGAGGTGGAGCAGTTGGACTCGAGAGCACTTCCCCTTTGCCTCCATCAGGTACTGGCTGAACCCTTCCTCTTCCTAAAGTCCTGGGGCCACTGTCAGCCATGACCCGAATCCAGTCCTGTAGTTGACTTCACCTCACCTGTCCTCTGTGAGCCCACGAGAAGGGACCTGGGCACATGGGTGATGGGAAATTTAATATTACTGAATAGTGGCCACTGAATGGACATGGATACTCAGTCAATAGTTCCAATAACCGCTAGCTTCTTTTACTTAGGGAATGAGGTGTTCGCAAGTTAGAGTCCATGTAGCAAGCACTTAGTGAGCACCAGATAGATGCCAAAAACAATGCCAGGGATGAGGGAAGCAAGGTTAGCTACAGGTGTAGCCTTAAGAGAGCCCCTGTGGAATAGGAGAAGCAGCTATGTGGGTAAATAATTGTGGACGTCCGAATTCAGTGTTGGCGTAGACAGGTGTTTAAGCCTAAAATGTGTGATTAATTTTGTCCCATAGGTATTAGGGACTTGCAGGATATGTAGGTTAAGCATGTCAAACTCAAAGGCTAACACAGGCCAAATAAACGAGGCATGCGGCCCACAGGCTGTGAGTTTGACATGCTTGATGTAGGCACTTTGGGAGAACAAAGTGAGAGGGTGCAGGAAGAGAGGTCACAGTGGGGAATATCGCTGGAGATTAACATAGAAAAGAGATGGGAAATGAAATTGGGTAGCTGGTGGCACTGAGGCTTTAGGGACTGGGGGTGTTTAATTAGGGTAGTGCCAGAATCAAATTTGAATTTTAGAAATATAGCTCTTCTCATGACTGGGAGGGTAAATTAGGAGATGGAGAGCCTGGAGATCCGGGGGCCTTTAGGACAGTGATGAGGGAGAGTTCTTTCTTACACAAAAGCTAATTCAGAAAAAAAAATAACATATTTATGAGCTATGTTTTATTTTCCCTTAAAATGAAAATAACTGGTACAGGGGAATGGAAAAAGCTTGGCCTTTTTCTTCATTTACTTCTGTTGCATTTAACTTTTGCAGTGAGTAGTAAGTAATTTTTGACTTTTAAAAAGTAAAATATAAAATACCTTTTGCCCCAAGGCAGGAAAATGTATCCTATATAATTAAGAGCTAATATGCTAATGGTCATGACTCCGCCACGCTGTAATGACCGATCAGCAGGAGGCTGCATGCGAAGCAGGTGCAGGTGGGAGGGGCTGCATGCGCGGTAAGGCACACACGCGTGGGCGTGGACTTGACGCTGTGTCCCTGCCTGGCACCAGCCGGGGACTTGATGCTGCATCCGGCCGGGTCTGGGTCTCTTCCCTTTTAATGTGCATGAATTTCATGCACCGGGCCACTAGTATTCTTATAAATTTATATTGCCTCCTTTGTGAACCTGAAGAATGCCTTTGAGAAAATGGGTGCTGCTTTTTGATTCCAAAACCTTCAAATTTGCCTGGTCAGTGTGGCTCAGCAGTTGAGTGTCAACCCAGGAACCAAGAGGTCACAGGTTCGATTCCCCATCAGGGCACAAGGCTAGATTGTGGGCACGGTCTCCAGTGTGGGGCATATGGGAGGCGTATTTGAAACCTTCTAACTTGCCCTAGTTGATTTGAATCTGGGCTATATATTAAGTTACATTGTTTAATCACATCTCATTTCTTGAGGTTGACAGTATAATTGTAGGTTAGGGAGGAGAGTGTCCTTGTTCTTGGGAAACCACATGCAAGTATTTAGGAGTGATGTATTTAGGAATTGCTTTGAATAATGCCAGCAACTTAAGATTTTTCCATTGGAAAAAAAAATACGTAAGAAAGAAAGCACATTTGGCAAAATGCCAACAATCAACAAATCTAGGTGAAAGATACATGGCCGTTGATTTTCCTATTCTTTGAACTCTTCTGTAGTTTCAATAAAAAAAAAAAAGAGGGGAAAGGACATTTGGAGTAGGTGGAAATAACAAATGTGGTCAGATCTTTTCAAGGAGTATATGTCACTGGGGTGCTGTTTCATTAAAGGAGAGAAAAATGCGCTTAGCAATTGGCAGGCGATCCTACAGCCGAAGCAGATCTAGTAGAAAATCACATTTTCGGCAGGAAGATGGTAATGATCATGATCAGGCCTGAAGATTAATTAATTTTTAATATCTCAAAGGAAAATTCTGCCCTCGTTCCCAGGAACATGCCAGTGAGCTGAACCCTGTAGGTTACGCTTCTGCAGTGTCTCAGCCTCGTCTCTCCTGGCAAAGGAGCTGGGCACATACAGTGCGCTTGAGAAGTACGGGCTTTGGCTCTGCCTCTGACATGCTAAGTGGCTTTAGTTCCTTCTGGGAAGTTGTAGAGCAAGTGAGATAATGCATGTAAAAGCACTTAATGTCGTGCTTGGAACACAGTAAAAGTCAAATAAATCCTAAGCATCACTCTATTCTCACTGTCACGGATTCAAAGATTGTTGTTAGAAATGAGGCCTGGATCAGCAAAGCCATGCTGAAGATGCAGCAGCTGAGCCATCAGGGCAGCAGAAGCAGCTGACGGCCCGAAGCCCAAGAAGACAAAACGTCCTCCTCCCTCCCAAGGGAGACACAAATCAGTGAGATGAGGTGACGTTATTCATTTCAGTCATTCCCAGCACCTCGCCCTGTGCCTTTCACCTGGACTCACCAGCTGTTGACATTTTACCAAATTTTTGCCCTCTCTCCCCACATATTTTCCATGGAAGCACTTTTCCCCACATCCAAACCCGGTCAGCAAGCCCTGCAGATCTACTTCAAATTATGTCCAGAATCTGATCTCCTCGTGCCTCCTCCATTGCTACCATCTCAGTACAAGACACTGTTGAAACTCATCGTATTCTTGCAGTAAACGCCTCACTGTGGAGACCTCTCTGCTTCCACTCTTACCTCCATTTAGTTTTTTCCCTCCGTACAGCAGTCACTGTGATCCAGATGAAATGTAAGTCAGATCATGTTACCCCTCTGCTCAAAGCCCTCCAGTCCTCGCTTCTCATTTAGAGTAGAAGCCAGAATTCTTACCATGGCCCATAAGGCCCTGCATGATCAGGCTACTTCCTCTTCGACCTTCATTCCTAAAACTCTCCTTCTCACTCCTTCCCAGGAGAGAGGTGGAGGGAATCTCCAGTGAACAGAGATTCTAAGATAAACCCTGAAGTTCATCCAAGTTCAATCCTAATATCTACCAAGAAGGAGAGGGTAATTAGTCAGTCCTGTGTGGAACAGATCAGCAGACTCTGAAGAGAGACTTTTATACCATTTTCCTGTTTCAGAATACTTAATGTGTCTGAATATACTGAAAGAAGATTTAGGCTCTTAGTAGAGTATTTGGGGTTATTGAAGTGAGAAGTGCATGGAAACCTATGCCCAGAAAAAAGGAAAGGTAAAGAAAAAAGTAGCTCCAGGAAAAATAAGTTTTTAGGAAAGAAAAAATAATAATAGTTTGGCCCATAAAAGGTAAGCATTAAATATTTGTCTACCCATTGCTACAGTATAACAATATGGGTTGCTGACTATGTATGAGAAAATAGTATGTGTTTGTGGGATTGAGGTAGAGGAGAATCAAGAGTCAATATTCGCCTTCTACTAAAACTGAAAAATCATGTAACAGTAAATTAAGCATAATGTTTAGAGACATAGAAGTTAAAAAAAAAAATAAGAAGAAAAAAAACAGGTAAAAGAAATCTAAGTGCTTGCCCCTGAAGGAAGAAAGGAGTAGAGAGCAAGAAGGTGGGGCTTTCTTAACACACCTTCGAGAGTTATTGACTCCTGGAACCATGTACAGTCATACTTTTGATAAAAATAAGAACTAAAGGGTGACATTTGTAATTTAAGCGTAAGGGGAGAAGAGCATCTAGGTTAAGGCAGTGACAGTGGAAACAGAGAGGGATGACTTTGAAATCTTGCAAAGGCAGAATCACTAGGGCTTGGTGCAGACAGCAAAAAGGCGTGAGGGAGGAGTCAGAGGCAACTCTAGGATGTGCAGTTTGGAGGAACGGTACGTTCCATTAATAGAAATTGGGGATTAAAGAGGGAGAGTTAACTTGGGGATGGTGATTATTTTTAAAGTGATACCATGTGGCATATCCCTAAAGGCCATTGGAAATATGACTGCGGTTACTTTAGACATTACTTTTAACTCTTGGGACTCTTAACCGACTCCATTTGAAAATTCTGGTTCTGGGGTAAGAGTAATGTTTCATACACCGACTTAGTTAACATGACGGCGGTTCGCTTTAAGGTGTGACTGAGTCTAAGCCCGGAAGTGAGAGGAGGGACATCAGTGCTGTGGTCTCCGTCCAATGAGCTTTTACTGAAAAGCATCGGACTCAGGCAGCAAGTGCCTCCCTGGGATCCTGAAGCCCCTCTGTGAGGCTCTGGCCGAGAGCTACACCTTCCTAGGTCCCTCCTTGTTGTCCTGGCAGGTAGAAGCCCGGAACCAGAACACCTTACAACTTCTACCCTCCCAAAGTGACTTTCAACTTCCCTCTTCACCTGATTCTACTCTGCAGCTTGCATTCCTGGTTCAGACTCACATTCAAACACCATTTTAAGCACTTGCTGGTTTGTGCTAGGCGTTGTGCTAAATACGCATTTGCAGTCCTACAGCAGCTCTGTCTCACAGAGTTGTAGATATTATTGTCATACTAGAGGCCCAGTGCATGAAATTTGTGTGTGTGTGGGGGGGGTCTCCTCAGCCCAGCCTGCACCCTTTCCAATCCAGGACCCCTCGAGGGATGTCCGACTGCCGGTTTAGGCCCGATGATCAGGCCATCCCTCTCACAATCCGGGACCACTGGCTCCTAACTGCTCACTTGCCTGACTGTCCCTAACTGCCCCCACTGCCAGCCTGATCACCCTTAAACGCCTCTGCCTGCCAGCCTGATTGCCCCTAACTGCCCCCCATGCCAGCCTCGTCACCCCCAACTGCTCCCCTGCTGTCCTGGTCGCCCCAACTGCCCTCCCCTGCCAGCCTGGTCACACCTCACTGCCCCCCTGCCAGCGTGGTCACCCCCAACTGCTCCCCTGCTGGCCTGGTTGCCCCTTACTGCCCCCGCTGCTGTCCTGGTCGCCCCAACTGCCCTCCCCTGCTGTCCTGGTCCCCCCCAACTGCCCCCCTGCCGGCCTGGTCACTTCCAACTGCCCCCCATGCCGGCCTGGTTGCCCCATACAGCCTGCTGTTAAGTCATTACTGTTACTGTGATGGTGTCCTGGACAATTTGCATAATCCTCTATTATTAGTATAGATTTGAGACATGAAATGACACATCCAAGATCACAGCTGGTAATGACAGAGCTGGACTACAATGCAGTCACGTTATTCACCTCTGATCCCCATGTTCTCCCCAATTTAGACACATGGGACCTCAAAGAAAAATCACACCTTCTCTTGCCCTGCTGGACTTGGCAGGTTAGGCTTTCATTGGGGAAGCACCCTGTGTATTTGTTTCTCAAGCATCCTTTCACCCGGAAAGACCTCTTGCTTTAGAGGCATGGGTTTTCATGAGTCTGTCTCCATGGTTGCTTTTGTGGTATTGGAACTGCCAGAAACCTGAAAGCTAACTGAAGCCTATGTTTCTTTAGTGCCAGGAAATGTGGGTCAGGATAGGTATGGGCTCCATCAATACTTCTTAAGCGAGAGTGATTTACACACAACTACGCCGGTGATGCACAAGTGCACAAGGCCAGAGGAGTCTCTCTGAAGAGCAGACAGCAGTCTTGATGGGCAACCATGTCTCGTGTCACGAATGGCGGGAAACCTGTGCCATGCCATAGATTTTTCACTGGGAGTGTGTGGGTGAAATGTGGTCACTGATCTCTATTGGGTGTAACGCAGGGTGAGCGGGACCTGCTAACATGCCAGCTCATGAGAACCGTATGCAGTGACATCCGTCATGTTGGCAGCTTGAAGTCGGCCATGATGGCAGGATTGACATCACAAAAATGAGCAAACATTGCCATCAGGGCTCTCCCCAACACTCTGCAGCCGATTATTAAATGTTTGGTTGCAGTATATGGAATTCTCACGTTATAGGGGAAAAATGGTTGAATATTGACAATTTGATTTGGTTCAAATTAGCATTGTAATATTATGCTATTAGAACAATGAATTGATCAAAGACATGCAGGATCTTGAAAATCAATTGTTCCTTTGTAAAGTCCTAAGAGTAGAAAATAAGTATGGAATCAAACTTCAGGTTGAACTAAATATTCACAGAAAGGTGACTCTCTATTGCTCATGGGAGAGGGTTTATGTGTATAGAATACATTTTAAGTTAGGTAAATATTTTCCTTTAAAAGCACTGTGTTTACACTGTGGGATTTGGAGAAACCACTCCTTTTCACTGTTGGTTTATTGGCTTGACAGCTAGCCTATTGCTGTTGACCTTGGCAGCTACCTAGAGCATGGAGTTGCAGCTGCAACGAGACATTGTGTTAGAAGTGTAAAATGCTAATAGGAAACATCCCAAATACGACAACAGTTTAGGCAGGCATTTCTCAAAAAATATTGTTTTATGGTTCTGTTTATAAATAAAGGTCTAAATAAAAGATCTAAGTTTTTAGAATCCAAGACTGTTTAAATTTAAAGGCGCCTTAGAATTAATATGGTAACTGACAGGCCTCACCGGGGACCAGACCCTGGCGCTCTGGACACTCCATCCAGTGCCCTTTACAGCGCTTTGTGTAGCTTCCAGGCCTCATTGCTCAACTCCGAGCACGTGGCCGCCTTTTCTGTAATCAGAACAACAAACGTGAGTGTCCCCTGAGGTGGTTTGTGAAACAGAAATGAAAGGAATGGGGTTGTGAGGTCTCATATGATGTGACATATGTCAACTTTTTAATTGACAGTAAACAAAGTCATTCTTTTACGCCCGTCATATCTTTTTAAGCCTCTGAAGTATTTTCCTCATTCTTTAGAGTTCTTATTTGTAAACTCTAATGAATCAGTGAAGTTTGTTTTGGCTGGAAATAGAATAGGAAGAATGAGTTTGTATAAAGACCAAAGAATGTCCTGTTTGCTTTGCTTGATATAAGTGACTTGAGCAGTGTGTTCTGAGCCTGCAGTCAGATTTCTCCTGAACTGGTAAATGTAGCTAAATAGTTCTCTTAGTTTGATATTATTAAAGGCTTTCAGCGTTTCAAGGTTGTGATTTCTTCCAAATTTGTCATTTCATCTGAATATTAACTTAATGTCTTGTTTTTTATTTTTAACAGATAGCAGAGTCCTATTTCCAGGAGGAGGACTGTATCCTTTTCTTAATTACAGGGAGGAATTCATAGAACTTTTAGAAAACTGTACATTTTAAAAACTTGAGTTTTACATACAAGAAAATGTATAGATATGTTATTTTTAATAAGCTTTAGTAGCATGTACCCATGGAATCACCTCAGAAAGCAAGATGTGGGGACTCTCTATACAGAAAATTCTCTAGGACTAACTCAATAAATGAGCCCTAATCTTTTTTTTTAAATATATTTTATTGATTTTTTACAGACAAGAAGGGAGAGGGATAGAGAGTTAGAAACATCGATGAGAGAGAAACATCGATCAGCTGCTTCCTGCACATCCGCAACTGGGAATGTGCCCGCAACCAAGGTATATGCCCTTGACTGGAATCGAACCTGGGACCCCTCAGTCCATAGGCCGACACTCTATCCACTGAGCCAAGCCAGTCAGGGCCCTAATCTTTTTTAAGTATATTTTTTATTAATTTCAGAGAGGAAGGAGAAAGAGATAAAGAAACATCAAGGATGAGAGAGAATCCTTGATCAGCTGCCTCCTACATGCCTCACACTGGGGATTGAGCCCGCAACCTGGGCATGTGCCCTGACTGGGAATCGAACCGTGACCTCCTGGTTCGTAGGCCGACACTCAATCATACCAGCCAGGCAGTTCTAATTTTACCAGAATCTAAGTATTTGTGTGTTTTGGGGGGTTGGGGAGTGCGGGGAGAAGGAGAAGCACATTGCTGAAAAATATAATTTAAAAATCCATTCGATTTTCTTCCTTTTGAATTAGGCAGAGTTACAAGTCAACTAGTATTTATATAATAGAGCCTGGCAAGCGTATTGCACATAGTAGATCTCGCAACTGTCACACATACATCTGCAAAGGAAAGATTTCATTTTTCATTCATAATAAACAGAATAAACGTTGTCAAGTGAGATTGTATGTTAAATTTTATATGGGAAAGATTCTTCCCTCAGTTTTCCAATTTCCCTTTTTAAAAACCACTCTTCTTTTTGAGGGATGGCCCAGTATGCACCCTCTGGAAAGGCTGTATCAGAAACATGCTTTCCGCACTCGTGCAGTTTTTCCTCCTAACCTGGTTGACTTCCACCACACCTCTGAGCAGATTGAGGGATAGGCAGTTGCCCCTGAACTCTACCAAGCCAGCTGGTAACACTGTCAGACACTCACAGTTTATCACAGTCTGTAGAAAATCCACTTGTGACGGAAATGAAGCTAGAACACTTGTTTTTTTAACTAGAGTAGAGTATGGTGTAGTGCAGGACTGACCAGCATCAACATCTCTGGGAGTTTCTTAGAAATGCAAGTTCATGGGCCTTAGAATCAGAACTGGCGATCAGACCCATGAATCTGTATTTCAGCAAATTTTTCAGATTATGTTCAGTTAAGTCAGCAGTTCTCAACTTGTGGGTCGCAACCCCTTTGGCGGTCGAACGACTCTTTCACAGGCGTCGCCTAAGACCATCCTGCTTATCAGATATTCACATGACGATTCATAACAGTAGCAACATTACAGTTATGAAGTAGCAACAAAAATAATATTATGGTTGGGTCACAACATGAGGAACTGTATTTAAAGGGCCAGAAGGTTGAGAACCACTGAGTTAAGTAAAAAAAATCCGTAGACTGTAAGTCATGGGCAGAGGAAAGCTGACTGACTTGTCCCAGCTTCTCCCTGGCCTAGATAATGACCCCTGGCATATTTTTAAGGCTACAAATAAGAAGCAGACCTCTGAGTGATCTTGGGAAGGACACAAAGCTAGACAGTGAGCGTTCCTCGTCCTTCCTCCTGGCTCAGCATCTAGGACATGGCCCAGAGGAAGGCAGGCAGTTGGGCAGCTCACCATGACCTCATGTGATGCTAACTGTTTGATGCAGATGGAGATGGCAGAAGTTTGTCAGAAAATCTGCAGAATTTCACATAATTAGGAAAATGACTGTGGCAGGTTAGTTAAATTTTTACGGAAGATTCCTATGTTTGGCTCTGTCCTCAGGCAGGTAACTCTTTGGTTTTGTGAGAGAAAAGCACTCAGTGAGAAGTCAAGGGAAATCAGAAACAGGTTGACAGGCGAGAGGGTAGCAGTTGCTCGACAGAAAGTAATTTAAGGAGAGGAAAGAGGGAAACAGATTCCAGGATTCTGTGGGAGTCCCGTTTCCAATTAAATTATATTTAATTGACGGCTAGCGATAGATTAGCAAACAGGCATTCTTGAGCATTAAAATTTTCTTTTAGTTTCTACTGTTGGCTGATAGAATAGAGCCCATGTCGCTATTGCATAATATGCTGCATTAAAATGTACCCACTTCAACACCAAGAAACCTTACTTACGTTTAAACTAAAAAATATTTAGAGTCCTCTTATTTTTTTGATAAGCTTCAAGTTTCACACTTTCTATAGGACATTATTCTTCAACTATGTGGCTAAATGTAAATAGCCTGGATTTCTATTTTCCTCAAGTCTTCTCTTCAGATGAGAAAGCAATGAAATTCATTCAGCTTGAACGACTCTATCATGAGCGATTGCTTGCCAATCTTTCTGCTGTTCAAGAACAATGGGGTGAGTACAGACCAGCAGAACATGGAATTATCAGCAGTTTAACAAGTTGCTATCTAAGAAGTTAACACATTTGACTGGGTTTTGTAAATCAGGAAAGAAATGTTTCTACACTCACGTTACTGTTGCAGAGAAAGTAGCATTTTCACCACAAGCAACGTCATTGTGAGAAAATCTCTCTTTGTATTTTGTTCTTCATATCAGTGCCACGCAGGGAACTCCTGCCACTATTTGCATTTCTTCTGGTCCCTCTGTATGTCCTACTGGCTCATTTAGTCTCCGAGATAGTATTGACTTACATTGAGAAGTAATCACTTAGCTGTGTCTAACGATATTAACTTGTGGGTTTTTGGAGAAGATAATTTTGCATGCTGACCTTTATAAGTGTGCCAGTTACCTATTTTCCCTCCTAAATATGATTTGTAATAGTCAGTGACTAACAAATATTTCAAAATTAGAAACAAAATGGAAAACTGTACAGCCACGTGCAGCCACGTCTCCAAGGAATTCAGAAAAGGGATTTAATGGTGAAGATTTTGAACGGCTTACCAAATTTTGCGCAACACATCAAGAGTAAGTATTTCAGTGTTTGGTTAGAATGAGCTTGGATTAGAATATTGAAGAACCATTGTAGCATTGAATATTTGAAATACAAGATCCATTTCTGTATTTGTTTTGTTAATGCTTTCAACTGGAGAAATTAAACTGGGTAAAATAAAATGATTAGGTTTCTTTCTCAGTTTTTATCTGTTTCTTACACCAAGCTCAGTGAAAGGTCAACTTTACAGAGGTTCAAAGTACTTTTTTATTAGAAATTTTTGTTGTTGAAAGTATTACATGTGTCCCCCTTTTTTTAACTAGAAATTTTTAAATATAACTTCTACTTTTTATCTCTTATTGGTTAAGAGATTAGGCAATTCAGATGGAAAAATTGTGTATTAGGACTGTTGGCCAATATTTGTAAATTATAGTATAAAACATATTTTTTAAAGAGTAGTCTGTTAATGGAAACAAATACAATATTTAACCAAAATAATGCAGAAGGGAAATTATATTTACCAGATAATTTTTAATTGCTTGATTTTTATCGAAGAATTGGTTCTTTAAAGCTCAATTACAGTAATAATAAAGCACTTACATATGTTTTTAATTCGTATTTTAAGACTTAGAATTCAAAAGCTGAGGGGCATGGTCATGATTAAACTGGTGCAGAATGAGTCTAGATTCGGAAGTGACAACTTATTCAACTCTCATGGTGACAGTTTCCTTGTGTTGGTCATTTTGAACCTTTGAAACCAAATATAATGGGATTTTGCACTATAACCTAATTTCTTAGCCAGTTAAATATGTTACCTTTCAACTTCCCAGAGTTTTAAATTAATGGAATTTTTAAAAGCAAATTGGAGATTTGTTTTGAAATATTCAGTACAGACACTTTCCCTGTCCTTAGCATGGAACTAGGTTTTTCCCTGCATCTCAGCATTTGTAGTTTATTTGGGAGGCTTCAGTAGTAATTGGCCTTGGAGGAGATGAACACGCTGTCGCCGCCTCTGCGCTGTGAGAGCCAGCGCTGCTGTCCGCAGTGGGAATGTTCGGTGCTAATGTCAGAAGCCTGAGGAGCTGTAACTTTTTACAGCATTTCAGTGACATTTGTTTGGAAGCATATTACCGCTGTCATTTGTGTTTAACTCTTTCTTTTCTCTCTTTTTTCCCCACAGTCCTCTTTTATCCAAATCTAAGGTAAGGGATTGTTCCTTTGGAAGTATTTAGAGGGGAAATGTTGTGTCATGCGTCTATAGTATGAACTCTTATAGGAAATAAGCGTCTTTCACCTTTCCATGTTACTGCAATCGTTTCCCCAACTGTGTCTTTTTGTCTTGTTCTGTGTTTCACTGTAGACAGCAGCTGCGGAGACGGCCCCGGGGAGGGAGAGCTTTGCGCAGTCAGCGGTGTCGGAGGGTCCCCAGGGAAGTGGAGTCGCAGCCGAGGAGCCCGGTATGTGTTGAAGGGAGAGGACCCAGAGCCGCTGCCCCTAACAGTGTTTTACAGGTGCTGCGTCCGAATTGCTCTTACATCTGAAATGCTGTGTTGACTTTTTTTAAAAATATATTTTATTGATTTATTACAGAGAGGAAGGGAGAGGGATAAAGAGTTAGAAACGTCAATGAGAGAGAAACATCGATCAGCTGCCTCCTGCACACTCCCTACTGGGGATGTGCCTGCAACCAAGGTACATGCCCTTGACCAGAATCTTTTTTTTTTTTGCACATACTTTTCCTAGACAAATAGCAAAGTGAGATTTTTTTTATATTATGTAAGTCTATTTTTTAGATATCTGGTAGTAGAAATTATAAAATCTAAATTCTTGCCCTGACCGGTTTGGCTCAGTGGATAGAGCGTCGGCCTGTGGGCTGAAGGGTCCCAGGTTCGATTCCAGGGCATGTGCCTTGGTTGCAGGCACATCCCCAGTAGGAGCTGTGCAGGAAGCAGCTAATCGATGTTTCTCTCTCATGGATATTTCTGACTCTTTATCCCTCTCCCTTCCTCTCTGTAAAAAATCAGTAAAATATATTTTTTTAAAAAAAGAAGAACTTGGTTTCCAAGGATTTAAAAAAAAAGAATTTTTTTAATCTAAATTCTTATAAAAACATAGTTATTTCCATATTTTCAGCACATGGCTGTCTGTATCTAACACAGTACGACAAGATAGTACAAAAATGCTCTGAAATAGAATTGGTTTGGGTGTGTTCAGACATTCTTTTCTGTTTAAAAACCATCAGTTATTACATAGACTTAACCAAAAATTTGTTCTGTATATCTAACTATTTAAAAGTTATTGATAACTTACCCATAGCATTGATTCCCTTCCCTTTTACATTGACTAACATGGTGTACTTCAACTTGCATATATATTTCAGAAGCATTTGTGATATATTTTGTATCACTTTGTGACTTATGTCAAAAGTTAAAGATTTTTAGAAGCTGTTTTTTACATTAGTAATGTATGTTCATCATAAAAACTTTAGGAAATAAAGATAAATGAATACATTTTAGGGTGTTTATTTTTCCTGATGTATGATTTTTAGTACTAATTTATATCCCTGGGATTTACTTTCCTGAGCCCTGATATTAAACAGCAGCATCAGGTGTTTGGACTGAGTTGCCTGAGAGAGAAAATGATAATGATGCTGCCTGCAATTCAATTCTCCTTTTTCTTTTTATAAAGTCCTTTTTCGTCCCCTACATCTCACTTTATCTCTGTTATTTTTATGAGGCAAATTAAAGATAGTGCCTTAGGTCAATCCTACTATAGTCTGTTTTTCCTGTCTCTTCTGTTCTATTTTTATATTGGAAACCAGAGTAAAATGAGCCTCAGAACAATCTCAGAGAGGGAGGAAGTCGCGACATGGCCCCTGGTTGGGCGTGGCCGTGTCTCCGCGTGGCGCACATGGGACTGCTCTCACGGCTGAGTGACTGAGTGTGGCACTGGGGACTGGTTGCGTGCCCGGCACTAGCCGAGCACTTACAGCTTGGCCTCAGCTGTGAGATGTGTTCCCAGTGGGAAAGCTGAGACATCACGTGGAAGGCACTTGCTTGATCCTTTGATTCACTCCTAGGACCTGGGCCCTCTGGTTTCTCACTAAAGGGCAGCGTGCTCTGCCAGGTCAGTGCCTGGGTGACTGAGACTCCACGGCAGACATCTCACTAGTGACCATCCTGGTGTGGGCTAAATCCGCGGCAAGAAATCTGCCCATGTCTGATGAAACAGTGTCTTTTTTTTTTTTTTTTTAAATATATTTTATTGATTTTTTACAGAGAGGAAGGGAGAGATATAGAGAGTTAGAAACATCGATGATGAGAGAAACATCGATCAGCTGCCTCCTGCACATCTGTGCCTGCAACCCAGGTACATGCCCTTGACCGGAATCGAACCTGGGACCCTTCAGTCCGCAGGCCAATGCTCTATCCACTGAGCCAAACCGGTTTTGGCGAAACAGTGTCTTTTAAAGAGAAATGTCAAATCTCCCAGAATTAGTCTCCTCAGTTTGGTTATTCTGTGAATAAATACAAAGAACTGTAAGAATATGAGAAAAAGAAATGAGAAAATACTACTTTAAATGATTTGAAGATAATACATTATTCTTGTTTTACTTCATATTCCTCATTTCTAATAATGAGAGACGTAATACAATCTAGACTTTCCTCTTTCCTTTTCTTTCTCTCTGCATTCCTTCTTCTGTAACTTGCTGTTTTTTTGTGCGGTGGTTAAAGACTGTTTCTACAGCCAGTTTCTCTTCCCTTTTTTGTTGACTAACGTAGGGTTAAGAGTTTAGAACAGTACCAGGGCCACAGTAAGAAGTCAGCGTGTTCTCACTGCTCTCATACTGCTCTTCCTCCTCCACATGCTGTCACTGCCCCCTGATAGCAGTGTTCTGTCAATGTTCTCTACATATCACTCATTGCCACTTTTCTAATTAATCTCCCATTAGTAAAGTCTTCAAGTAATTTGCATAGTATTTTATATTTTCAAAATACTTTTATGTGTATTATTTCATCTGTTCCTCTTAACAATCAATATAAGGTCTGCTGAATCATTTGAAGAAATTCGAGGAAGTGAAGTGACTTATGCAAGAACAGAACTAATTAGAACCCAAAGCCAAAACAGTTTTCTGACCCTGTGGTCCATCATTTTTATTAACTTATATTTTTATTGATTTTTAGTCATATCTTATATGTAGAAATAATGTTACCTACATTATAAGAAATGATAACAAAGTGAAGGCCTGTGAACCTAATACCCAATTAAGGACTAAATTATTGTCAACCCTGAGGGTTGGGGGAAATCCTGAACTTTAGATTTATCATTCCCTTCCCATTTTTTTAATCAGCTTTATTGACATACAATTTCCATGCAGTAAATGTACCTGTTTTAAGTGTGTAATTTGATGAGTTTTGACAAACCTGTGCACTCATGTGACTACTACCACAGGGACGATAAGAACATACATGTTTCCCCTGTATACCCAGTCCCTCCCACCTCCAGTGCCAGGCAGCCAGTACTTTTCTGTCATAGATGAGTTTTCCCTGTTTTGGAATGTAATATAAATAGGATTGCTCAGCATATGTTTTGGACAGTCACCCATATTATTGTATGCATCGTTAGTTCATTTTCATGGCTGAGCGGCATGGTTTTTTTTTCTTTTTTTACTATACCACAATTTGTTTATCCATTCACTTGTTGATAGACATTCGGATTCTTTCTAGTCTGGGGATGTTATGAATAAAACTGCTAGGATGTCACTCTGTGGATGTATGCTTTTTTTCCTCTGGGTAAATCATTGAGGCTGAAATTGCTGGGTCACAGGGAAGGCACCTGTTTAACTTCATAAGAAATTGCCAGGCAGTGTCTTAGTGTGGTTGTGCCATTTTGTACCCAGCACGCATTGTATGAGAATTTCAGCTGCTTCACATCCTTGCTGACATGGAACGTTGTCAGTCTTTTATATTTCAGTCATTTTAGCAGGTATGAAATTGTGTCATTGTGGCTTTCACTTGCTTTCCCCTGATGACTGGGCATATACATTTTTAATGTTTAACTTCTGTAGAAGATATACTAATTTATACTATTATCAACTTCCGACTTAGTTTAAGTATGTGTTTTACTCTAAAATATTTACTGTGATAATTCTCTTTTTCAAGCCTGATACCACTCAAATGTTCATGCATAATGTTAATTAATGAGATCTTCAGAACGTATAAGGCATAAGTGTTAATTCATAAATGCTTTAGGTCCCATACCATGAAATATTTGGAGGGGAGAGGTCTCTAAAGAGAACGTTGGGGAATAGGCTATGAAAGAATAACTTAAAGGCATGTACAGAGCATGTGTAGGAGCTTAGGCTAAGTCTGACTTCTCATTTTAGAGCTATCTCTTTAATTCATTGTTTATGAAGTATCTGCTGTGCACTCAGCTCTTACTCCGTTTTTATTCATCAGAGTAGGCTTTTTGTTTGTGTGTTTGGTTTTTAGTGAATGTGAAGTTAGTGCAATGAGGTGAGGGTAGCAAACTGAGCTCACTAGATTTTTGGGTTCAGAAGTGCCAATTAACAGAAATTCATGTTACTGTTAACAGAAGCATTAACAAGAATAAGTTTTATATTATAACATACTTACAGAAAATATTTTGGGTCAAACATGGGGATCAAACACGTCCCCCCCCCCCTTTTCCTGGAACACCATTAAACCATCAGACAGGGATTCTTAAAAGAGAAACCGCAGGACAAACTGGCAAGGACATAGCAGCAGATGTGACATCCAGGAAAACTGGGAGCTGGAGAGGAGATGGATGGGTGGCAACTGGCTAAGCACCAGGGAAAGCTGTGGCTACAGAGAAAGTGCTGGTTCCTGTCTGGAAGGTTAGGATTGGAAGCACTGAGGGTACCTCTGAAGTCCAGGATATAAGGCCCTAGAGTCTGGCTCAGTGGATAGAGCGCCGGCCTAGGGACTGAAGGGCCCCAGGTTCGATTCTGGCCAAGGGCACATGCCCGGGTTGTGGGCTCCAACCCCAGTAGAGGATGTGCAGGAGGCAGCCAATCAAGGATTCTCTCTCATTGGTCTCTCTCTCTCTCTCTCTCTCTCTCGCTCTCTCTCTCCCTCTCCCTCTCCCTTCTCTGAGATTAATAAAAATACATAAAAAATAAAGTCAAGGACGTAGGGTTGGACTGAAAACAGGAGGTTGGGCTGAAAGACGAGTCAAGAAGCGCTGAGACCTTTGTGTTCCCTCTGCTAAGCAGAGGCTGCGGGGCTACTTGTTGGAGAACATGACAGAAGAGTCGTGGGCTCAGGGGTCAGGCACAGCTCAAGGAAGGGCTATTACGTAGAAAATGAGGATTTAATGAAAATCTTATAGACTGAGTGGTGAGACCTGTAGCCTACTTTCTGCGTTTAGCATTTAAACGTGTGGCAGCTAAATCTCTTTTTTTCCTCTCTGGGAAATGAGCTACTAGTTTAGGAGATAAAACCTCCAGAAACCACGGTAAGGGCCTCCCAATGAATGGCCCCGCCCACTTCGCCCCACATTGAGGCCCCGACTCCCGGGGAAGGCTCCCCTTGAACCACGAGGCTGCTTGTTGTCTCGTTTAAGAAAACCTCAAATAGAAAAGATGGAGACAAAGTCAGGTAGACAAGCCAAGAGAAACTCAGAGGAAACAAAATGCAGAGAACAGACGAAAATTTTTTAAAAATGAATATTATCACAGATATTAGAGGAAATATTGTATAAATGAAAGCAAAAAGAAAATGTTTTATTAATGTTTTTTATTTATTTTAGAGAGAGAGGAAGGGAGAGGGAGAGATAGCAAAACATCCATCAGTTGCCTCCTGCACGCCCCCTACTGGGAACCAAGCCCACAAGCCGGGCATGTGCCCTGACCTGGAATCCCACTGGTGACCTTTTGGTGCACAGGACGATGCTCAACCAACTGAGCCACCCAGCCAGGCAGGATGCTGTTTTGTTGTTGTTGTTGTTGTTTTAATTTTTATTGACTTCAGAGAGGGAAGGAGGGAGAGAGAGAAACATCAATAATGAGAGAATCATCAATCGGCTGCCTCCTGCACGCCCCATACTGGGT